AATTCGGTATTTTTCTCAACATTTTTATAAGGCCTCTTGGTAATTTTTGCTTCAAATATTTTTGTCACTTTTGGAATTAATCCTAAACTACTCATGATTCCCACATATTTACTGTTAATATGACATAAACGAGTATGCCAAAATTTAATAGAAGACAACATATAAATGAAACAAAATTTACCTTTGTAGTGGAATTGTCATTACCCTTTTGTATTATTAATGCATCTTGGCCTCTAGCCTCGTCTTTGACTCAAATGCGAGTGATCAACACCTCTAAGGAAGTCTCCTTTTGTTTGTGGGGCATGCTCTTTCGGAATTCTCTCCAAGTATTTTCTAGTTTAACCATTATCTTTACAATGATGAATTTTAACAAATCCATTCTTATTCTTGATGGTGGTACAATGAGGCAAAGTACCTGCCAAATGAGGCAAATATCTTTAATGGTGGATGGAGACCACTTTGATTTTTGGAATGGAGACCATAAATTCATCAAATGGATTTGTAAACATGAAATGAGTAGCATACTATTGTCTGGTACCAAAAATTCATCAAACGTTTACAAATGAGAGTGTAAAGTTGTACTATGCCATCATTGTAAGACACGCTTAGAAATGTGATAGTGAAGTACTCAACGTAACCATGAATAATGTCACGCATACTAATGAATGAAATAATGTGAACAAAAATATAAACGAAAATGTGCTACGTGAATCTTGACAACCAAACCACTACAAACACGAACGAGTGGTTTCAAATGGTAACATGAAACCACAACCACACCCCCAAATCATGTTACTGGCATTGTTTGACTCCCTGTGACAATGTACAAACAGTGTCCCATGAATATCTAGACACATTCACAAACCTTAAAGTACATCAAAATAGGACGTGGCACCAGCCACGTTCAACAACTTACTTTTATTACTGAATGCAAACAACCAAACGACACCGTAGCACAACATGACATTATACACATAATCCAACTTACATGTGCTGCCACCCACATTAAAAAGTAATTTACCATTTGGTCACAATCACATCCAGAAACTGGACAACACATAACACAATGACGTGGCACCATTCACATCCGACAACTTATTTTTTTAAGTTAATGCGCAACACCAAACGACATCGTACCACAACGTAAACCCCCAAAAAACAATCTAACCAACACGATAATTTGCATGGTTCGAAAAAAAAAAAAAAAAAACCAATAGACCACGTACCAGGCAATACAATAACGAATCAAGCACAAAACACCCATATTGGACAACCCGTAAGACCCCCATCCTACAACACCAACAACTAAGTCACATAACACACAATCGACAACCCCCACATATGTACTATCTTCAAATCGAGAACTATAAAAACTTGTATTTCTCATAAAACTCACAAAACATACAACTACCATTACATATTCTGACTGAAATAAAGTGAAATTATCCAAAATCCCATATTCATATAAACCCTACTTATGGGTTGTTAATCAAAATCAAATGAATAAACATTGCAAAACAGGAGAAAAGCCACACTTACGTTTTGGAGCCATCATTCCTCGTCGTTCACCGGAGACGGTATTTCGTTAGAACCTTCCCGTCGAACGTGGCAGTCGAATCGCGCCCCTTCTCCTCTCGGTGGTGGGTTTCGAAATGTCCTCAAATGAATCAGCCGTTCACATTAGAATAGAGCCACGAAACATATCTAATTTATTTTGTTTCCTAAAATTTTGCCTAACTGAACTTGTAATCTTCACATATCACATGTATTTTGAATTTCAAATACTTATCCACATGGATATGATATATGGTAACATATAATTTCCTATATATGGTTTTGGCATTATTTATGATATTAACAACTACTATTAAGGGTAAATGTATCAACTAACTTCGCATAGGACTTATGGGAATATAAGGCTCTATTTGTTTTTGTTTTCAAACTAGTTTTCTGGATACAGGTTTGTGCATGATGTTTGGATAAAGTTGTAGAATTAATTTTCCACAACTCTACAGAGAACTCTGTCAAACAGAGCACGTTTTTCAATTTTTTTTTAAATTTGGGTTAACCGGTCGTCCGATCGGTCGACCGGCCAGTTGATCGAAATAGTGATTTTTTTTTTTTTTGGCAATTGATATGTTAATATTTATATATTCAAAAAAAATATTTTCTGAATTTTTTAAAATTTTTTATGTGTTTTAAAATAATTTTGAGTTGTATATTTGGTTATGAGTTGTAAGTTTGTGTATCAAATATCAAATGTCACATCAAATATTCCCAACTCAATACAAAACTCTTTTCAAAATTCTCACCAAACAAATTTTCTACGCTCAAATCATAATTCCAAATCTCACAAACTCAAAATACAACTCATACTCTCAAATCATAATTACAAAACTCTACCAAGCGCAACCTAAGTTTTTACTTAGGACCATATGTAACATAAGTCTCCTAAATAGGACTTATAAATAATTTTCCCAAAATTTAAAACCAAACATCACAAAACTACTATAAAAAAAAAATAAAAAAATAAAAAGAATCATAGAAAGGCTATGTGTGGTAATAGGTTGAATTAGTCAATAAATTACTAAAAGATTAAAATCATATAAAAAGTTAAAAATTCATTTTCATTCTTTTTACATTTTGTGCATTTAAAAAAACGAAAAATTAAAAATTTATTTCAAACATCTTAATTTTTTACTTCATATTTTAATTAAAAAATTATTTCTCAAACCAAACCAAAGTCATAAGTCAACCCTAAGTCATAAGTCGACCATGCGTGATGGAGAGATGCCCATTACCAACTAATCTTTTTAAATTTTTATTAATTTTTCTTTTAATGTTGACCCATTCATTAATAAGAAGTCACGGCAACAAACTTTTTCCAACTATGCAGTTTCTTGGATAATGCCTATGTCTACTTGCTTTGTAATTTTCTACCCGTCATACACGAATTTTGTTTGAAATTTGATTCCTGTTTTCGAGAAAATTATGTAGATCTCTTGGGACATTTAAAAAAATATATAATAAGTGACATAAATTTGACATAAACAAATAATTATATATTTTTTTTTTAAACTGGGGATGTGTCCCTAATAAAATTACACGACAATGTCTATATAAGACATTAAAGTTCTTTAATTTTCAACATATGAATTTGGGTTCCATCTCTTGTTTATTTATGTATTATTTTCATATACATTTTTTATCATAAACAATTTATTAACCTTTTCAATGTGCGCAAACGTCGGCAAGACTAACAGTAATTTGGATTGTATCTTAGAGTTGTCTAGTGTCCGTTAATACATTTGCGTAAGTAGATAATAACAACTTTGGAAAAGTGATTACGTGTCTCTCATAATTACAAGTCAAGGTTTATTCAATTTCCTTTTGATTTACATATTTACAATATATTTATTGATTTTTGTGTAGTAATATTTATGTTTTATTGTATAAAATTTCCCTCAACATTTTGTAACAAAGCCCAGATGACAACAATGAAGTGAGTAGCAGACAGCACTGGCCAACAACTTCTAGTGTTCTTGGCACTGGTGGAATTGACAACAAGTACACCCTCTTAATTTTTCCATACACAAAGGATTTCCAACACGATGACACACATTCCCCTTGCTTATTCATAGTAAGGTTTTTTGTTTTTAATCACAACTTATTTAAGCTATGTTTGTCTTATAAGTTGTAAGTAAAAACTATACCAAACAAACATAAACTTTCAACATAAAAAAGAGAGAGCTATAAGTAGTGCCATAAACGGCACCAAACAGCGTTGTTCATATACTAAAAGTCAGTGATTTCTCAACACAATGTTCCACCAATCTTACCAAGTTCAGATGGTGAGTGCTGCATATTATCTTGACTTGGTCAGCCAAGAAAAAGACTTCTTGACATGGCCTAAGCCATCAAGATGCTTCACTGCAACTTTTTTGCCATTGCTTAGAAGAGAGTTCCCTCAAAGATCAATACCCATATCCTCCTTGCCAAAGTATCCTTTTGAAGTTATATCAGTCAGTGACTTTGAGCTCAATCCTAAGAGAATCTCATGGCCATTCCTGGCACTTTTTGATCAAAACAATCCTCCTCAGTTTCATCACTTCCTCTTTGCTTCCTTGCAAAAAGGAAAACACATACCGAAACTATATATGATACATAGACTAAGCAAAAAAAAGAAATGCTCCGAGGCTGGATACCAGTTTAATTACAAGTCTGATTGTTGACTTAACTTGCATTTTATATTGACCTCCATTCAGATCATCTTTGTTAGTATATATAGAGCATTTTCCACTTGAATTTTTATTGCACACTTCACTTGAACAAAACAGAGCATCCTTGCAAGAGCAGTTACTTAAACATGTTGCTTGCAACTACTCTTCGTGTCTGTGTATTCATAGTATTTGACCTGACATGGATGGATCAAGGGAGGGTGAGGGGAAGCGGTTGCACCCCCAAAATTGTAAAAACTAGGCCTTGTTTGGTTTGTTTTTGAGAAACAAAATTTGGAGAAAATTTTCTAAAATTTTGTCTAGTTTAGGAATTTTGGAAATTTTTTTTTCCATAATCACTTTCTCTCTCCTGCACATCAATCAATCACTTTTTCTCTCTCATCTCTCCTTCTCAATCACTTTTTCTTTCACACACATCTACTCAAGTACAATAAAATATCAAATCATCCCAAACTCCCATACTCCCAAATTATTTCCAAAATATACAACCAAACAAACCAAAAAGAATTATAAATTCTTTCCCCAAATTTTTTTTTGAAAATTTATCTCTCAAAACCAAACCAAACACACATGTATATTATACAGGTAATAGTAAGTAACATTGTTTAGCTCTACGAGCTTCTGATATTTTGAAGCTTTGCAGGATAAGGGAGTAATTTCAGAATATCCAAGATTATGATGCTTATCATTTATCTTCATCAAATGGGCCAAATGCAGTCCACACTGGCCACACTATCGTACATTACTACTGCATACTAGAGGTGGTTCAAGGGGTAGGCAACTCAAGCGCCCAATTAGGCACTCTGAGTAAAAGGACCTTACCTACTATATATTCAGTACAAAATATATATACATAAAAGACCTTAGAGGATTTGGGTGAGTGAACTTGCAATTTTACCAAGACCTTTCACTAAATTAAGCAGAAACACAACTCTTAGATAAGTTTTGTACAAATTTCAAACTACAACCAAATTGTAAGATTTATTAGCAAAATTTGTACAAGACTTAAGTTAGAATGGTGTGAATAGGAAATTTTACAAAGCTTTCATGGCATGTTTTGACAGTTTTCTTCCTTTGTATTGCAATGTTTCTAGAGTAAATCGAAATCCTAAAACTTATCAGTCCAAGAAAAAGAAAAAAAAAAGGTGAGAGAAAAACAAAAACTTTAAACAATCAACTCTAATTTGTTTCCTAGTCTACTTTCTTTACCTTGGTCCTGATAAAGTTGATGCAAATAAAGGAGTAGCAGCACCAATGTGATCCTCTTGGTGACCAGCAACTGTGATTGCTCCTGGTGCAACAGGAGTTGTGAAGCTATAATCCAAATTGCTTTGAACATCTACAGAACCTTCCAAGACCTTCACCACCACTGACATGGAAGGCCTCCTGGAAAAATCACTTTGTAGACACCACACAGCAACCCTCATCTTCTCCACGACTTCTGCTCTATGTGTTTGCATGTCATCATTGTATTTATCAACGATATCCAGAAGTCGTTCCTCTTCTGCTTTCCTCTTAAACAGATCTAGCAGGTGCATGTCTTCCTCAGGTTGAGACCTATCCAAATTTTTGCGCCCACATAACATTTCTAAGACCACGACACCAAAGCTATAAACATCTACTTTCTCGGTGATAATTGATCTCAACCACTCAGGAGCCAAATAGCCTGGTGTTCCCCTCATCATTGTTACAACTTGGCTTTGGTCCTTATCAATTAGTTTTGACAATCCAAAATCAGAAATTTTCGCATTGAAGTATTCATCTAAGAGGATGTTTTGGGGTTTAATATCCAAGTGAAATATCTTTTGTCTGCATTCCTCATGGAGATATGTTAGTCCCTTGGCTATATCCATAATGATCTTCTTTCTAGATTGCCACCCAAGAGTTTGCTGCTGGTGCCTTTGGAAGATCCATGTATCCAAGGATCCATTGGACATGTACTCGTAAATTAGAAGCCTATATGATTTTTCAGCACAAAATCCAATTAATCTCACCAAATTGACATGGTGAATGCTGCCTATTGTTTCAACTTCAGCTAAGTATGACTTCTTAACCTGACCAAAACCATTGAGACGCTTCACCGCTACTTTGGTGCCATCGTTTAATATCCCTTGAAACACTGACCCAAATCCTCCTTCCCCGAGCTTATCATTGAAATTGTTAGTCATGGCTCTCAATTCTTCGTAAGAAAATCTGATAGATGTCCCTGGTACTTGGTCAACAGAGAACTCATCAAAATCCCCAGACTCTTGTTTCTTCTTGAAAAGGAAAATGCAAGAGGCAACCACAAAAAATACACCAAAGAAAGCTCCGAGACTTGAACCCAGTATGATCTTGACTTGCCGTGTGTAAGAAAAATTGAGAAAGAGAGAATAAATTGTATGTATATATTGATATATGTTGTACCATTACAAAGGGAGCTTAGCTCTCATTTATAGCCTGTCATTGGATGCGAGGCATGCGAGACGCGAGGCATCGAAAGGCTAAAGCTAGCCGAAAGCATAAAGCTAACAAACATAATAATAACAACTAACGTATACAATGCTTAAAGAATAATAAACAATGCTAAAGTATAATAATATACTAACATCCCCCCGCAAACTCAAGGAGGGAAAGCATCAACCAAGTTGAGTTTGGAAACAAGAAAGAGTAACAAAACAAGAAAATAAAATAGGATAGGAGACACTGTATGGTCGTGTCGAACCGTTGTTGAAGACACGGCATGGTCGTGTCGGACCGTTGTAGCAGGACAGTTTACGAGGTCATGCCGGACCGATGTAGCAGACACTGTGTGGTCGTGTCAGACCGTTGTTGTAGAAGCTGACCGGAATCAATGTCGGGACAGTTTACAGGGTCATGTCGGACCGATGTAGAAGATTGTGGTGGTGCACCAAGGGGGCGACTTAGGGAGTGCGCCATGGGGTGGCTTGGGTGGTTCCCAGAACCGTAAGAGAATACGAACCTCGAGTCCAGTTCGATGAGGATGTACTGGAGGTGAGCTTCTGGTCAGGAAACAAAGTCTGGCCAACAAGTAAGGAGTCAGTTGGATGATCAAATGACTGCCAAACCGTTGCATTGTTTCGATCAAAGAGCACCAAGTTTCCCAATTCGGTGACTTTCATGCCGAAGACGGACTTTGCAGATGTGTTGGTAGACCATACGAAAGTTCCATCGGCGTCTTCCAATCTCAAATCTCCATCTCGAGTGAGTTGTAAAGTGGCGTTAATTTGAACAGGACGATCCCGATTAGCTGACCAAACAAGTTGAGGGGCATTTATAATGGGAGGGATGTCGGAATACAGATAACTTGTATTTTGGAAGATTGCAACACCGAAGAGGCATGATGATGGCTGAGTTTGTTGAGTAGAAAGGCAATAGAAGCCACACATCATTTGTGACGCATTGGATGGTGATGTTTGGAGGACGGGTGTGAGATTTGAACCCTCAAAAACGGTGGAATTAATGTAAATTGAGGGGTTATTGACCCAAGAAGTAGATAACTTGGCTATTGGAGATGGAGATGGAGATGGTGGAGATGGAGATTGGGCATTATTGTAGAAGGGTAGAGAGGCAATGGAAAAGGTGAAAACAGCAGGAAGGAGATAACAAATAGAGCAAGATGGAGCCATTGGTGGTGGTGGTGGTGGTGGTGGTGGTGGTGGTTTTGGTCTATCCTACAGCTCTGTTTCTTCTACGGAAGAAGAAAGCGGTGAGTTGAAAAGTCACGAGGATTTAATTCACAGCCGGGGTTGAATAAAAGTGAGAAATTAATTTTAAGATTAATTTAATAAAAATAGTTTAAATGAAAAAAATAAAGATGAAGAAATGTATTTTAAATATCATGCAATAAATTAATTAAGTATTTTAGTATTTTACAATAATTTCTTTATTTAAATAAAGATTAATTTTATTTTTAGGTATAAAAAATGAGAAATTATTTGAATTGCTTATTATTCTCAAATGATTTATTGATCTTTCATTTCCTACATACTAATTTTAATTTATTGTGAGGCAATTAAATTTTTTTTACTTCTATATTTATTTTTTAATTTTTTTTAATCATGTAAGAACAACTTTTTTTTTTAAATATGCTGCGATTAGAAATTTAATGACTCAAAGATAAAATTTAAAATTTGTTAATAATATCTTAACAATTTAAGAATAAATAATTTTCTTACATATGCAAAAATAAAAAGGACAAATTATTAGAAAAAAATTAATCCATTTGTTCCAACTTAAAAAATGAAAAGAAAAAAAATTAAATAATAAATGCATTAATTAAAATTGATAAATATTTTGTTGTTTATATAGTGTGAAATAAGCTTTTGTTTGGGGTGTCCTAAATAAGTGCACTTTTTATCTTTTTAGACTAAGTTGAGGAAAAAAATATGGATATTTTGGTTAATTTTTTGACTTTTTATGAAAAAAAATGTATTAAAAAATTATATAAATAAGTGTATAAGGGAATAAAGTAATAGTGCAGAGGGTGCGTAAGAGATTGATTCTCTACTTTTCGGGCATAAATTGGTCAGTTCTGTTCGAACCATGGGGGCTCACCACGGGTCCAGTTTTACTAATCGAAACCGTTCAATATGTAGAACTCGTCGAGTATTATATGCTTGTAAAAAATCACATTGATTGGATATCGATAGCTATCTAATCTTGTTAGTTTTTTTTGTTAACGGTTAACTATAACACCATCTATTTTTATACAAAACTGATTTGATCATATATTTAGAGATATCCGATAGACGTGATTTTTTGTAGGCATATAGTACTAGACGAGTTTTACATATTGAAACGGTTCAGATTACCAAAACGGGACCCATGGTGGGCCCCTACAGGTCCAGCTCTACCATCCAATTTAATGAATATTTTACTCCCTATTTCTTTTTTCCCAGTCACTGACCGGGCCCATCCCGTCATACCCTGTTAATTGTATTTTTTTTATTTGTATTATTATGTAGATATTATTTTTTTAATTTTTTTTTTTTTTTTGTAAAAAGGGTTAACTTTTTGACTTTTTGACTTTTTAAACTAGTCACATCACTTCTCTACTTTTCTGCACATCTTTTTGTAAAAAGTCAAAAAATTACTAAAATAGTCTGTTCCCAAACGAGGCCTAAGTATTGTATTAATTATTAGAATCTTATATTAAACTATTAGGGGTGTGTGTTTGGCGGGATTAGGATATGGGATAAGACTTCATGTATAGTCCAATATTTAGTTGGAAAAATGAAGGCCGGACTAATATATATAGGATAACTCAATCCCACGGAGGGTGTGGGATAGAAATGGATGGATTGAGCGAACTTTTGGATTAGTTAGTTAAATGATAAAATTAACCCTCAAGTATATATAAAATTTATTTCTTTTATTTTTTTTAAACATGTTGAATTATTTTAAACCTATGTAAATTAATCTCATGGTATACTATTAGTCTTCTCTTACTTTTTTTTTTTTTGTATTAACAAAATCATAATAAAATATATTTCAAATAAAAAAAATAAATTAAATTAAATATATTTTAAATTAAATAAAATAAATTATACTTCAAATTTAAGTATTGTCATCGTAAACAATTTAAAAAATATAATTCATAATTTTCAAATCAAACGTGAGATCCACTAAAATAGTCATTTCCATACTTCTAATCCCATGAGAAAACAAACATAGGATACACATCATTTCCGGCAAAATAGTTCAAGGATTATGTGTCCTAAGACTATCAGTCCGTTACATTACAGTCCCTTTATCCAATCTGTCCAAACAAACATGACCTTAGGATATTAATTTAAAATATGCATGAATTTTTAATAATATATATGCAAAACCTCAAGGGAGATGAGTAAGAATTTTAATTAAATAGCTCATTAGTTCAAAGGGGCAATATGTTCATTTTGGATAGAAAAGTATAGACACCCTATTTTGACCGGCCTCAAGACTTGGACGCTTTCTTCTAAACATCCGATGATGAAAATTGAAGTGCTATTTTACAAATTTATCAGCAGAAAAATCAAATTTAAGCTTTAATGTCAACCTTACACCTGTTTTTGGCCAAATTATTTTAGACCTATTCAAAAATATTTTTCTAAATTTTTTCTTACTCGAAAAATTTAGCAGTTTTGAAAAAATTGGCTCCTATACCACATGGCAAGCCACATGTTTTTGAGATACCAAAGAGCTAGCCATGTGTTTTAGGTGATTTCTAATTCTATAAATATCCCCCATTTTGTTGTTTGAAAAAAAAAATTGGAAGAGAAAATTTTGTTTCAAGGAAAAAGAGAGAAAATTTTAGAAAAAGAAAATTTTGTTTCAAAAGTCTTGAGAAGAGAAAATTTTGGTTAAAATAATTTTTGTTTCAACAAATCTTGAGCCTTTCAATCCACTGATATATACCACTCAAAAATTCTATTAAAGCTTAAACTTGTCACTTTTTGCTAAGCATACTCCATAACCGTGTAGGAGACCTATGATTTGTTATGGGAAAATGGGTTACAAATAGTATGCTTCCAGAAATAAATAAAGGGAAAAGAAAGGCAGAAGGGCCAATTGATCCCGAATTATTTGGCACATGGGGAGATGGAGAAAATTTTGACTTTATTCAGACAAATGAAGTTAAAAATGATACTAACACTGGAAGTACCTTCAATCCTACACCTGAGCTGGTAATATCTAGAAAAGATAATAATCATAAGTATCCAATAGCTCAAAATGGTACTCCTTTAGACTTTTCCCATGTCCCATTTAAGGATCAGGAATAAGCATTTGATGATTGGACACAATCCTTGTCCGTCATTATTACCAATTATAAAAATAGTTGGTCAAAGAAAAAATTCCTTGATTGTATTGCAGCAACTCTTCAAGGAGATGTGTTGCAATGGTCAAGACAGTGGGAAAAATCTAAAATTGAAAAAAGTCAAAAAAACGGCTTTATTGACAAATTTTCTCACACTTAACACAATTTTAGCTGAGTTTGCAATAATCATAAAAGAAAATTTATGTGGTTTTACAGAAAATACTAATTTGCAAGGATATGCAAATTATATTTTGACTAAATTAGAACTATGTAATATTTGTCTTTTTGAAAACTATGTTTAAACTTTTAAAAAATATTATTATCTTATTGATCCACCAGCAAATCAACCCTGGCTAGATCAATTTTTCCATAAACTCCCTAACCCATGGGATGAGTTATGTAGTAAAACATATCCTAATTTTCTCAAAAAAATGGGGAAGGAAGAATATGATAATCTTGGTTTTCGCATTGATTATGTTCTAAGACTGATAGTAAATCGGTGTCTAGAAGCAAAAGTGAAAAAACAAATAAAAAATCAAATTTCCAACTCACAGTATGGTTAAAAATGTTGTGATAAAATTTTAAAAGAAAATTGGAAAATTGGTTGTAATACATTTCGTAAACGAAAAGGATTTTCCAAAAAAACATAGAAAATATAAATGGAGACCTTAGAAAAAGAACAAAACTTTTTCAAAAAAAATATATATATATTCAAAAAAAGAAACCAACAAGTGTTTCAAAAAAGAAAACTTGTAAATGTCACATTGTAACGAAAAAGGTCACTATGCACCCGAATGCCCAAAAAAGGGAAAAAGTGCAAAGAAAATGATCAAAATTCTTGAAGAACAAGATTTTGAAATAATATATGGCGAAGAAATTTTTTATGAAGAAGAAATCTTATATGAAATTCTAGTGATAAAGAAAGTTTAAATGAAGAACTAAGCTTCATGATGACTAATAATGGTCAAGAAATATCTCAAAAAGCAGATAGTATATCTCAAGAAGAATTACAGGCAATTCGACTTGAAGATGTAATCGGAGAAGAAAAAACTTTTACCGATGAAGAATTAGCAAAATTCAAAAAAATGCAAGAACTTGCTATTCCAGAAATTTATAAACTTTTAAAATTCAACTTCTTTTCAGCAAAAGTGTTTGAACAATATAGTGATAACATTCAAGCAAAATGGTCAGAAGAAGGAAATATTGATATTCCTTTTTTTGATAAGAAAAATGTTACAAGATGAAAAAAGAAATATTCTGAAATTCAATATATTCATATTGGATTAATTCAAGTAACCATAACAGCCTTATTTTGCCAAGGGATAGATTCTCTTATTTTGGCAGTAATTTTTGATAAAAGATTTTCCGACCCAATGAAAGCAGTCATTGGAGGAATTCAATCTAATTTGGCTAATGGAGTAGTTTGATTAAATGTTAGACAAAATTTCTTTATTTCCATATATGATCCTAATCTTGAAGACACAGTTAGAATAAGAATTAAAACACAAGGATTAGGAATGAAATCAAATTCTCATGATTTGACTATTCGATGGAAAAACAATTCACGAATTAACCAAATTTCCTGAAACAAAAACAAGATCAAACGATAATAAAATCGTTGAAATCTTTGAACCAAGACCATTTGACACGGTAATACAACCTTGTCTAATGAATTGGAGCAATTTAGAAGTCCCTCGACAATGGCTAATCCATGACCTAGTAGGACATGGAGAATCCTCTAAAACAAAAAAATCTACACAATTACAAATGCAGGCATCAGGAAAAAAATTATATATTGAAAATACAGTTCCAAAAATTAAAAGATCAACTTCGGCATTTGAAAAAGATTTTCCTAACAAATTATTTTCAAAATTAAGCATTGGAGAATCAAGTAATAATTCTAATCAAGAATCTATTACTT